CTAGAAGACTTACTTAATTTTTTGCTGTGGATATGGCTTAGAGGAAGAGCAAAACTGGCTTAAAACCTAAAAAGGACTAAAGAAAGTTTATTAACAAAACGACAAGAATAAGAACACTAGAATAAACTTCCAGAAAACCCTTTTTATCCCCTACTACCCACCATTCCCTTGTTCACATGACAACATAGAGACAAAAAACTTTGGAACTTTGGTGTTCAAAACAGTCCCAATTCCTGCTAGAGTCTTTTCATCAGTCTTTGTAGAGAAACAGAAGTCTTCTTCTGCAAATCTATGCAGTTTTCCACAAGAAAGCTATTTCTGGTTTAGTTTTCTATTTTTCTGATGCCAGCTGCCTGGAAATCTGTCATCAGTTCACTCCTCCCATTTCACATCACTCTGAGGTGTGTATGGGTCAATGAGTCTAGGGATGTCATTTTTAAGGATGAGTTATTCAACGGCAAAAGTTCTCTTCATCTGTTTCTGTGAGCTTCCCTGGAAAGCAGTTTTCTCATTGGCTCTTAAGGCCTCAAATCTTCAGCTATTACTTTATCTCACTCTGTTCCAGTACCTCACTGTATCACAATTACTCCACCTTTTGCTCAAAATCCAAACTTTGAACACTCCATTCCTCTCTATATACTCTGTCACGAATTAAGGGAGCTTGTTACAAGACTCTATTGGCCATCTCCATAGCTTTAACAGAAAAATATTTCAGCTTATAAAGCATCTCCTTATTATCTACCTTTTCTGAAGCTTCCTTTCTTTACTGTCTCTGATAGTTTATAAAGTCTCTTTACATGTTGATTACTCTCTTTTTCTCTCTCTGGATAAAAAGATAAATCTGAAAGTCTCATCTGGGTAAAGAAAGGGTTAAAATCTTGCCCAGGCTTTTGTAGATGGTTCTGTGATCTCTGCCGGAGCAGCGGCTGGAGCTGTCTGCGATGGAAGATTCTTCATGGCTGTTCTGGAGAGTGTGGTCCCTGTCTCAGCCTGCCGCAGGTCAAGAGCTTTTTCCTTTCTTTACTCGGCAGTCTCTGGTGAATTTTGTCATGGCAAGAACTGCAGCCGAGCCAGGGACTGGCCTGGCCCGGCCAGAGCCCGGGGCAAGCCCCGCAGGCCCCATCTCCCGGCCGGGAGCCGCGGCAGGCCCAGCCCAGCCCCTGCCTGGGCCGCATGGGCTGGGCCGGGGACGGGAGCCAGCTGGAGCTCTGTTACCTTTCACAGCCAGGAAACAAAGAGAACAAGAGAGCTCTGACTTTGCATCTTAAGGAGGTGCTCACAGGTTGACTTAAATTTTTAATGGTCAAACCTGCTGTCAATTCTTAGAAATGACCGATAATTGGTCAGGAGAAAAGACTCCCATCAGCCACCAGCAGCTTCAACTTCCTTAGCTCCCAAAACCACCTTAAAGGTAAAGCCACCCCATGACAAAATAACAATCACTATTTTTTTTGTGCAACTTATAGAAAACCAAAACTGCAGAGATTATAACAAACAATAGAACCTACAGTGAAATCAAGGGTGTCACAGACTGCATTCACTTCTATCCACAAGTAGCTGTTCATCAGCGTTCTGTCACAGCTGTTTCAGTTGTAGTCATCTTCATCTCTCCAGGAAAATAACTGTGCAGTTTAAACAAATGTCTTCAATAAAACATGAAGCAATTTAAATTTTAAACTTGTTAAAAATTAATTATGATAAAAATAAGTAACAAAACAACGTCAAAAAATACCAAAGTTATAACTTAAGCTAAAAACACTCAAATTTAAACATAGTGAAATTTAACTTTGATTAATCTTATTAACACTTAATCTAGATCAGATGAAAACATGACTTAATCTTACTCTGTTATTATAAAAAAAAGGCAACTAAAAGTTTGGTATACACTTCTTTGAACACAATATAACAGGAACATTGATTCACTATAGAGATTATAGGGATGCAACAAATTTATCACCATTCTATGTTATCTGGTTTTGAGAATAACCCATAATAACTGCAGATGTTCTTAAAAACATCCATTTGTAACAAGAATTTGCTTGGTATATGCTTAAATTTGTTAGGATTTTTAGAGTGCAGTTTTACTAGAAAAAAAATACAACACTACAGATTTGGCAAGTTGCTATTCAGCTTTTGTAGTACTTTTCAGAAACATTAAGTCTAACTTTTTAACTAAAATCCAAAATCTAAATTGGTATATATGCTGTTATACATGTATTTGTTTTTTTATAACAAAAAGACTCACATTAAAATTTCTTTATTAAAATTGTCAAAAAACCAAGCAAATGGGTAATATATGGTTAACATAACTTTGAAATTACTGAAGCTGTATTGAACTAAATCCACAATACACTTATTCAAATGAAAGGAAAGGTTAAAAATGAAAGAAACCTGTCATTCAATCCTTTTTCTGTAGGGTTAATCATATGATCTTTCAACTCAAATCTTGCAGAAATTAACTGTAACTACAGTAATAATACTTGATCACTCTATATCATACAATATTACATTTCAGTAGATGTATAGAGAAGATAACATTTTCAAAACTTTCATGTATTGGGAATACTGAAACAGAAGAAAAATCTTTTAAATTTTTTGGGATGCATAAATATCATAATTTTCTTTGTTATTCTGTAAAAACAAAACTAGCAGATATCATTAGAAATACAACCTCCATATATATTCTATTCTGCAACATTTTTAAACTTTTTGATCCACTTTTGAAGGCACTTCAATAGGGGCTTCTTTCTGAAGCTTAACTGACTGCAATCATTTGCAGATTAGCCAGTAATGCATCTTACAATGCTTTTGATTTTTGCCTTTCGGCTATTTTTCTGAAGCCATTCCAGAGATGCTGGACTTTGTATTGCCCTGTCCCGTAACCCCGAGCCCATGTCTGTGGGAGGATTTGTAGAGTGAAAGAACTGTGCATGAGCAGGGCTGTGCTCCAAAGGCTCTTGGCTTTGTGTGGTATCCAGTGAAACCATCTGCTGCGGTGGAGCTGTTGTTTTTCCCAGCTGTTGTTGCTGTGCTGCAGCTGTATTGCAAAGGCAATTCAATTTGAAAAGCGGCGCTGCAGCGCCTGGGGGCGGTGCCGCAGGCGGGGTCTGGAGCTGCGGCGGTGGTTGCGTCACTGCTGACGTCACTTTGACTGACAGCTGTGGCTGCAGGCCCAGCCCTGGCAGGCGGGGCGCAGGGGCCGCCGTGCCCGTGGAGGTCCCGGACCGCTCTGGGTCGGGCCGAACCCTCCCGAACCCTCGGACCGCTCTGGGTCGGGCCGAACCCTCCCGAACCCTCCCGGGGGGGACAGGGCTGTCCCCTCCACCCCCCTGGGGCCGGAAAGGGACTCGGCTGCCGGCACGCAGGCGGCCAAGGAAGTTTCCCCTCCCTCTTCTGCCTGCAGCAGCGCACCGAGCGCTGGAACAGCTCCGAGAGAGCTCAGACACTCTTGCAAAAGCTCCAAGGCCCCTTTTTGCAGATTCTGCCCGCGTTTTAGAATCGCCTCCTCGTCTCTGTATAGTTGTTTCTCTGGGCTTTCAACAGGCTTAGACATTCCCTGTGCTACGGTGGAATTCAGGAAGGCTGCCACAGACTTTACAGCGTGCGGGAACAAGGATTCCGCATCTGGCTGGGACAAACCCTTCTGTTTTTCTGGAGCCATCGTGTCCCTTGCCTGAGTTCCAGAGTCCCATTTACTGGCCATGACTTCATAAGTCACTGCAGAAGCCGTTAGAAGTTCAGTCGCTGCCTGGTCTCTAAGAGTGGTTTTTTTCATATATTCTCACGTTTATCTTCTCCCACAGGCTTGGGGTAAAAATTTTCTGTGAATCCACGTTAGGGAATTCTGCCCGTACCCAGGATAGAAGGCTTTTAAGCTCCTCCGTGGATACAGAGATCGGGTGCTCCTTTACCATAGCTTCCAAGACAGCCAAAACCTCCCCCTCAGGTTTGGACATGTTTCCCATATTTTTGCTCCCTTCTGACGGCTTACCTGACCTGAGGGTCAGCTTTCTCTCAGCTCCTCTATCCGTGATCCGTTCCACAGCTCACAGACGTCTGGCTTGGCTTGTCCGCTCTCACCAGCACCGGGATTACCGAGATCTTCTTCTTCCCCTTTCCAGCGAGTTTTCCAGCTTTCCGCTGTCTTCTTTTTGTTTTGTTTTGGTTTTTTTTTTTTTCCTCAACAGGAACCTTCAGTTCAAAGTGCCCCAAGTTTGGGTGCCATTTGTCTCGTTAAGGACTTTTGGATTAGGTTCTTTTTCCCTTTCAACTGAAGATTGATGAGAGGGAGGCAGTTTTCTCTTGTTCGGGCTCAGTTGTTTATTCTTTTCTTATCAGCATTGCAAGGTACAAGGAGCTATGTGCACTATGATAGAAAAGAGTAAAATGGCTAACAAAGATCCTCTTCAAGGCCTTTTATATGTCCATTTACCCAATTAACAGATGCCAACTCAATTATTTTTCTTAGTGACCCAATGACCCAACACCTGTGCGCTGCACTATGGCATTTTTTACCCAATCACTTACTACTACCCAAAAACCCCTCGGAGAAGAACATGAAGAAGAAAGAAGAAGGACAAGAGACAACACCCTAAATCTTCCTTCTTGTCTCCTGTTCTCTAAATGGTTTTTCACCCAGTGATTTAAGAAACTTTCTAATCTACACACTTATCTTTTCCTATCTAACTTTAACATTTGTTTTCATGTATCACCATGAAAACATGCTCATGAATTTCATGTCATATGAAATTCAGTGTTTCTTTGAATCAGTGAGCTAGTGAGGAAAATGCCTGGCCTGGCTGGGCAGGGAGCTTTTGCAGGAACTCAGGAAAAAGATGAGGGTGCATCACCTTTGGACAGAGGGACAGGCAACTCAGGAAATGTTTAAGGAATGTTTAAATGTTTAAATGTTAGGTCCTGCAGAAAGAAAAGTAGAAAGGTGAAAGCTGAATGAGAGCTTAACGTTGCTGCTTCTGTGAAGGAGAATATATCACATCTCACGGGAGCTGATCTGGCTCTGTCACTTGGGCCTGCACAGGAGTGGATCACACCCCAGGAGCAGGATGAGCCCAGCTGTGACTAGAGTACTCACTCTACGGCTTTTGGCTGTCAGTCTGTGCTCTGAGGAGACAAGGACAAGATGGAGGTCTTTTGCATGGGATAATAGAGGATTTATTGCTCTGGGGAATCTTGGGGACAAAAGACAGAAAATGCGAGCGGGCAACAGCTGAAATAGGGAGGTGGTTCAAAGAGAGGGTACAAAGCATCAGCTAATCAGAGATATCCTGGGGAGGGTAAAAGGCAGGGTTCACAAAATCATCATCCAATTGGGGCCCCGGCCCAAAGCACCAAGGATCCACTGTGACACTGCAGGGCCCAAAGCACCAAGGATCCACTGTGACTCCACGGAGTGTCATGGAACCGTGGAGACCATTGTGACACTGCAGGGCCTCATGGAACCATTCTGACACCAAGCTGGCTGGGAGTGTGGATGTGCTGGAGGGCAGGAGGGCTCTGCAGAGGGAGCTGGACAGGCTGGATGCAGGGCCCAAAGCCAACAAGGTGAGGTTGAACAAGACCAAGTGCCGGCTCCTGCACTTTGGCCACAACAAGGCCTGCAGTGCTCCAGGCTGGGGACAGAGTGGCTGGACAGCGGCCAGGCAGAAAGGGAGCTGGGCCACTGATGGACAGCAGGCTGGACATGAGGCAGCAGTGTGCCCAGGTGGCCAAGAAGGCCAATGGCCCCTGGCCTGCATCAGGAATGGGGTGGCCAGCAGGAGCAGGACAGGGATTCTTCCCCTGTGCTGGGCACTGCTGAGGCCACACCTCGAGTGCTGTGTCCAGTGCTGGGCCCCCAATTGAGGAAGGCCATGGAGGGGCTGGAGCGTGTCCAGAGAAGGGCAACAAGGCTGCTGAGGGGTCTGGAGCACAAGTCCTGTGAGGAGTGCCTGAGTATGCCAACTGTACAATACTCTTTTCATCAGTCTGTGCAGGGAGAGGAGTTTGCTCTTTTCATGCCATGGAGAGATCTCTACAAGAAACAGTTTTCTCGTGCCCTTTCATTTCTACACATGTCAGTCACCTGGGCACAAACTCTGCCCTCTCCTCCCATTTTCACACTACTCAGAGGTGTGTCCATGGGCATTGAGCTAAGGGGTATTATTTTAAGGATGAATTATTCAAAGGCAAAACTCTTCTTCATCTCTGAGAATAGAGGTTTTCTTCTTCTCTCCCTGGAGGCAAAGGGTCTTCATCAGCTCTCAT